TTGGACAAAAATCTTACACCTATGGATGAGGTCAGTGGCAGGGGGTAAGGGCATGAGGTGGGGTGGGAACCTAGTGGAGGAGAGCTATGGGGGGGTGGGGGAGAGGAACATCTGTAATAAACTGAACAATAAAGATTTATTTAAAAAAAAAAAGAGTAGGCCTTTCTTCCCCCAGCTGCTGGCACCGGCTTCCCTCTGGCACCCAGGACCTGGGCTTCCCTCGCTTCCCTCACAGCCCTGACTTCGTCCCGGAAGGACGTCCGGTCTAATTAGCATATTACACTTTTATTATTAGAGATGGTAGTCCCCTCTTATCTGTGGGGGATACATTTCAAGATCCCCAGTAGATTTCTGAAAGTGGATATAGTGCTGAACCCAGTATGTACTGTTTTTTCCTATATATCAGTGATGGCGAACCTATGACATGCGAACTCAAGTCCCCTCTTATCTGTGGGGGATACATTTTAAGATCCCCAGTAAATTTCTGAAAGTGGATACAGTGCTGAACCCAGTATGTGCTGTTTTTTCCTATATATCAGTGATGGTGAACCTATGACAGCTGATTTCTCAACAGCTGATTTCTCAACAGAAACCATGCAGTTCCTCTGACACGCGAATTCATTTTTTTGGTTGATTTTTCTATGTTAAATGGCATCTAAATATATAAAATAAATATCAAAAATATAAGTCTTTGTTTTACTATGGTTGCAAATATCAAAAATTTCTATATGTGACATGGCACCCGAGTTAAGTTAGGGTTTTTCAAAATGCTGACACGCCGAGCTCAAAAGGTTCGCCATCACTGCTATATATGCATACCTATGATAAAGTTTAATTTATTAATTAGGCACAGTAAGAGATTAACAATAAGTAATCATACAATAGAACAATGTGGTGATACTCTCAGTTCTTTTTGTATTTCCAGTTCAGACCTCTTCCTGCATCTGCGGAACCATCCTCACTTTTAGTGAACAGCTCGGGGTCATGGTTTCAGGGACCCTGGCTGATGGCTCTCAGTCAGGACACTTTTTCCATTCATTTCTCCCACTAACACATTTGATGTCTTTTCAGTCTTAACTATTTATTATATACTGTCGTGGCCGTGTCTTTTGCAGTTTCAGGCGAGACAGCCAAACTGGCATGAATTTTTCTTCATAATTTTATGGGTAGAACCTTCCTTCTTACCAGAAATCTTAGCAACCTCGGCGTGCAGTTTTTTTCTTCCTAAATTGAGAACTTCCTTTTCACTTCAAGGGAGTACTTTATGGCTTGTCTTTGGCATGTCTGAATTGCCAACATCACTTCTGTGCTTCGGGCCCTTATTAAGTAAAATAAGTGTTCCTTGAACAGAGGCACTGTGATGCCATGGCCATTAATCTGATAATAAGATGGCTGCTAAGTGACTAATGGGTGGGGGGTGTACGGTATGGAGATGCAGGACAGAGGGTGGAGTCACATCCTGGGTGGGGTCCATGGGATTTCATTACCTTTCTCAGAACTTATCAATTATTTATTTCTGGAATTTTTCTTTTAATATTTTCAGAACACTGTTGACCCTGGGTAACTGAAACCACAGAAAGCTAAACCATGGTTAAGAAGGGACTAGATATACGGAAAAGGAGGGGATAATTGTGGGGGGCGGGGGGGAAATGATCCTCAAAAGCCTAGGTAGAGAGATTACTGGGGGTGAATGAGAATGACACAGATTTGCATATACTTCTGTGGGGGATCAAAGGTGGAATGTTTGAAAGTATGTACTTAGGTCCCCTCCTCTGTCATATAGGAAGACTGGGGCAGGGGGAGGAAGCAATGAGGAGATAAAGGGTACAGGCTTAAAAAATAGTCATTGAGGGAAATGGGAGAGGAAGTCGATCAGAGACAGGTAAGAAGAATGCCTAAGAGCATGGCGGGTCCATCTGGCGTGGCGTACCATAAATGTGAGGTGATGCCACTCCTTAAGATTGCACCCAGCCCCCCAAGTATAAAAAGTGTAAAAGTTAGGCTGTGGGATTAATCCATAAATATTTTAGAAATTATGCAAGAATATAGGGGAGAAACGGGGAATGAAGGTAACTGAGTAATTGAGAGTATGTTTTTGTACCACTAACCATACTACTGTTAGAGAACTTTCACTTAGGGTGAGAAGTATTCTAGAAATCAACTTTGGTTCTCTTGTTATTCTAGCTCATTTTCAGGCAGCCCTGAGGCCCTGTTACCTGGGATCACCTTGTCATGAGTCAAGGTTTTCAGCTTCAACTTATTTTGCCTAAAACATTAAACTGCCTCTTGGGTAAAGGAAGTTTTGTCAAACATACGTGCATACACTAGTACACCACATGTATATTGTGTGGAGAGAAATGCATGACATCCCCAATAAGTCCCTCATCCCACAATAAGTCCCTCCCTGGGTTGGGGGAGCTTCCCGGAGCCTTGATCAGCTTCAGAGGGAGCCAGCCAATCAGCACTCCCTTCATAAGTCATTGTTGCTCGTCCCTACAATTGCTGATGAAGATTTTAGACCATTCACATTAGCGATAGGGACAGAAATGTTGAACAGAAAGAGAAGCTTTTTAATGAAGGTGAAATTGAACATTTAAGATGACTTTACAGGTACGTTCTGGTAAGAGCAGTGTCAATGGCTAACCCACGGGCCCTGTTAAAGGGCCTGAACCTGTCACCTCCAGGCCACTCGTCATGGCCACTGTAGAGGGCGAGAATCAGAGACTTTCTGCTGGAAATTGGGGAGGAGGTTTTTCTGTGATGGTGCATTTGCTTTGAATGCAGGGGTGTCCACAGTTCAAAGAGTAACTTCAAGTAGAACTAACTGGTAGTTTAAACCAAGAAGCCAGAGGACAACCCTTTATAACACTCTGTCACCTTTCAGTACCGTTTATGTTATCATTTAATAGCATTCTCCTAAATGGTCACTCCACCTTATTTAATATCTTTGTTGAAATACACCCCAAAAAAATCTACCATAAAGGAGGGCTAGTTAGCGTTCTTAGCCTTTAAGATGACTCCACAATGAAGAATCTAAGAATGAAGTCCAGAAATGGTTGTTCCCAGTAATGGGACTTATTAATGGTGTCACTGTCCCCAACCCAGGTAATGGATTATGTTAGTAAAAGAGAGGGTGAGGCATCTTTTCTGTGTAGCAGGGGTCGATGACAAGTGCCAGGCAGATATGAAGCAATGTGCTGACGTGTCCCTTTTCTGCCTTGTGTTTAGGGGCATCGTCCAGTCGGAAGAAAAACTTGTCATCAGTGCATCTTGGGCAAAAGATGATGATATCAGCAGACTCTTGAAATCTCTACCCAACTGGATCAATATGGCTCAGCCCAAACAGCTGAGGCCAAAGAGAGAAGATGAAGAAGATTTCATAAGGTAAAAGGTCTATTTTCTAAGTTGTTCTGAGCATGAGGAGGAAAAACATCTGTTTAGCTAATTCTTTCTTGTGTGAAATTTTGGCCAATTTTAAATATCAAGTAGCAATTAACCAAACTTAGTCAAGTCTGTTTTCATCCTAATACACCTCACTTCCCATGCAGCTATGCCTTGTGCTCAAAACATTAGAAGGCAGTGAGTGACATGAGTCAAATTTGGAGCATTACTAAATCGAGTTAAAATATATTTCAATTTGTAGATCCTTCTCCCCTCTCAGGGGACAAATAGTGTATGCATTCATTCACTTATTCAGCAAAGCTGTATTCACCTTACTAAGCACCACACCTGGAAATATGATGGACAGTTGATAAGAAAAGTTCTTGCCCATATAGCACATATTACAGTTGTTCTTAGCATGTTCTTCACCTCAGAGAACCGTTAGTTAAACTTTCTGGAAATACAAATGTGCTCCCCACGTCTGTTCATATACATTGTATTTTCTTTGATTGCTTTCTGATTATTTTGACAAAAGTAATGTCTCTCCTTCAACTTTATCACTCAGTGTTTACCTAAGTTCAATTTAAATTTTTTACTTAGGGCCTGATTTGATGAAGCTACTTATTTTCACAGGCGGGGTTTGCCACAGTGAAACATCCCACCTAGTTCGTAAAGTAGAGGGGAAAGTAATACGTTGTCACATGAAAATTAATTTTATTCCTATTGTCTTTTGCCTATCCAGGTGAATAAAGAAATAGTTCAAATAAAAATAAAATAAAAGCACTTTAAAGAAGCAAAGACCAGAAAAGGAATCAAAGAAGGAATGGCCAGTACCTTACTTTCATTTTATCATAAGACTGCCCGTGACCTCTTCTATTTCTCACCATGTAGTTCAAAGCTATAGATAAATAGGTCTTTACAGCTCACAACATTAACCATATTCATATCCTGTAGTGCCATATTTTACCATCACTTTATTATGAAAATATGCTAAAGGGCCATTTAAAACTTTCTCAAATCATGATACTCAAAATTCACCAGTAATTAACCTAAAGCCTTCCTATCTATATTTTTCTTTCTCATTATTCAAATTATCTCAGAGAAACCTGTTAACTAGTTACTTTGATATAAGAAAAGTATGAACAGTCTTTAGTTTAGGAGGAACAATTTTAGGTTCATAAAAAATTTTATCGAAAATCATGGACTTCCCATATAACCCCTCACTCATCCTCCAATTTTCTCTATTTTTAACATCAGTGTGGTACAGTTGTTAACATAGATATATTGTTATTGACTAAAGTCTATAGTTTACATTAAGGTCCACTCTTTTTGTTATACATTCTATGGGTTTTGACAAATGTATAATGAATGTATCTACCATTCAAAATAATAGTTTTACTGCCCTAAAAATTCTCCACTGCTCCTCCTATTCATCCCTGCTTTCCACTCCCCAAACCCTGGTTAATCACTGATTTTTTTTTTTTACCATCTTCATCATTTTGTCTTTTCCAGAATGTCATATATTTGTAATCATATAGTATGTAGCCTTGTCAGGTTGGCTTATTTTGCTTAGCACTATGCGCTAAAGTTTTCTTCATGTCTTTTGGTAGCTTGATAACTCTTTGTTTTGAAATTTCTGAATACTATTTCATTGTATGGACATGCTATAGTTTGTTCATCCATTCACCTATTGATAACATTCTTGTGCAGGTTTTTGTGAGGGTGTAAATTTTCAATTCATTTGAGTAAATACCAAGGAATGCAATGCTAGATCATATGGTAAGAGTATGTTTAGTTGCACAAAAAACTGCCAAACTATCTTCAAAGTGGCTGTACCATTTTGCATTTCCACCAGCAATGAATGAGAGTTCCTTTTGCTCCACATCCTTAATAGCATTTGGTGTTTTGAATTTGGTATCCTATAATAAAAGGCTAATATGGAAATGCAAAAGGACGCAGGCCCAGCTGAGGGACCACTCCAAGTGCACGAATTTTGTGCACCCAGCCTCTAGTATTCTAATAATTGTGTTGTGGTATCTCATTTTTTAAATTTTTGTAATGACACGTGTTGAGATATCTGTTTAGATTTTTTGCCCATTTTTAATTGGGTTGTGTGTTTTATTATTTTGAGTTTTAAGAGTTCTTTGCGTAGTTTAGATACCAGTCCTTTATCGATATGTGTTTTGCAGAGATTTTCCCTCAGTCTGTGCCTTGTCTTTAATTCCCTCCACAATGTCTTATGTAGAGCAGAAGTCTTTAATTTTAATTGAATTCAAATGTATTGATTTTTTATTTTATGGATTGTGCTTTTTCTCCTTATGATTTTAATTGAGCATTTTGTAGGATTCCATTTTTTTTCTTTCCTGTTAGCATATAAATTATACTTATTTTTTTACTGTTTTTAGTGGTGGTCCTACAGTTTTCAAGATACATTTAAACTAATCCGAGTCCACTTTCAAATAATACATTCCCACTGCGTGGGGAATGCCTTCTTCCCATTCCTTATTTCTCTGCTCTCATTCACTTCATTTCTCCATAAGCTACAGGCACTGCGCATAATGTTATTATTTTGAACAAACTGTTACCTGTTGATCAATTAAGAATAAGAGAAATAGCAGGTATGTTTTCCTTTAGGTTTTTCTTCTCTTGTGCTCTTCCTTTCTTTATGTACGTCCACGTTTCTAACCTGTATCATTTTCCTTTTCCCTGAAGTTCTTTTAACATTTCTTATAAGACAGGTCTCCTGGTGACAAATGCTCTCAATTTTTGTCTGTCAGAGACAGACTTTATCTTTCCCTCACTCTTGAAGAATAATTTCACTGAGTATAGCATTCATTGGATGGTGATTTTTTTCTCTTAATACTGTAAATATTTCACTTCACTCTTCTTGTTTCCGTAATTTTTGAAGAGAGGTCCACTGTAATTTTTTTTCTTGTTCTTCTATAGGTAAGGTGATTTTTTTCCTTTGAATTCCTTGAGGGTTTTTCTCCTTGTTTTAATTTTGTGCCATTTGAATAGTTTATGCCTGGATGTATATATTTTGGAACTTTCATGCTTGGTGTTCTCTGAGCTTCTTGGGTCTGCGGTTTGGTGTATGTCACTGGTTTGGGAAAATTCGTAGTTATTATTGCTGCAATATATCTTCTGCATATTGTTACCTTTATTCTCTTTCTGTTATTTCAATTACACATACATTACACCATTTGTAACTTTTTCACAGTTCTTGAATAGTCTGTACTGTCTTTTCACTCTTTTTTTCTCTTTGGATTGCATATTTGGAGGTTTCTATTGACAATTATTCAAGCTCACTGATTCTTTCCTTGGTCATGCCCAGTCTATTGATCAGCAAAGAGAAGACATTCTTCATTTTTTTATGGTATGTTTGATTGTTAGCATTTCCTTTCGATTCTTTCTTAGAGTTTCCATTTATCTGCTTAAATTACCTAAGGTTAACTTTTTCTTGAATATGTATAACATATGTGCACATATCAAAGGCATAGCTTGGTACATTTTCACCCTTTTTATTGTGTAAATAGTACCTAGATGAAGAAACAAAATGATAGTGCAAGGATCCTTTTTGTGTTTCCTCTGGTCACTACTTCTCTCTCCAATAGTCCGTATCTGACTTCTAGACACACAAATTACTTCAGTCTGTTTTTGGATTCTCTCTAAAAGGAATGGTGCAGTTGTGTATCCTTTTATGACTGGTTCCATTTGCTTCACATTATGTTGGTGAGATTAATCCATGTTATGTTGTATTAGTTTTTATCACTCTATAGTCTATATAGTATTCCATTGTGTGAATACATCACAGTTTTTCGGTTTTATTATTTGTTTGTGTAGGTATGTAAATGTGTATATTCATTTATTCTATTGCTTATGGGCACCTGGGTAGTTTCTAGTTTGGAACTATTTTTGCATAGTGCTGCCATGAATATTCTGTGTCTTTTGGTAACCCCATATATAAGTGTTTCTATTGTTTATTTATAGGAGTAGAATTGCTGGGTCATAGGCTATGCATATGTTCAATTTTAGTAACAGTTCCAAACCCCTTTCCAGAACGATGGTAAGAGTTTGTATAGCAGTATATGAGAGTTTTGGTTGCTCCATATCTCATCTATAGTTGATATTTTCCATCTGTTAAAATTTAGCCTTATAGTAGGTTTGTAGTGGTCTTTTATGTTGGCTTAATATACATTTCTCTCATGACTAAGGAAGTTGAGCACCTTTTAATATATTTTTCTGTATTTACTGGCCATTTGAATATCCTTTTTGCAACATATTTGTTACTCGTTTTAAATTAGGTTGTCTGTTTTGTATTGGTTTGTAGGAATTCTTTATATACCTGGATATAACTTTTTTATTATAGATATCATCTCCCACTTTATAAGTTGTATTTTTACTTTCTTTTTTTAAAATATATTTGTATTAATTTCAGAGAGGGAGAGAGAGAGAGAGAAACATCAATGATGAGAGAGAATCATTGATCGGCTGCATCCTGTATGCCCCCTGCATATGCCCTGACTGGAATCAAACCATGACCTCCTGGCTCTACGCTCAACCACTAAGCCACACCGGCCAGGCCCATTTTTACTCTCTTAATGGTGCCTTTTAATAAACAGACTTTAACATTTTAAATAAGTCAAATGTATTATTTTTTAATGGATAGGAAATCTTGTATTCTATATAGAAATCTAAGTTTATATACCAAAGTCACAGAGGTGTTTTTTCTAACACCTTTAAATGCTGAATATATTTTCCCCAGCATCTGAAGTAAATTGAAAACTTAAATTTTTATTTCCTATGCCTGTCCTCTACACGCCCCGTAATTTAAATCACATGGTGATCATAACAGAGAGTAGCCCCGTAATGTTTTTCTATCAAGAGTGGTAAAGAGTGACTGAGACATGGGTGGATGGGAGCCCCACAGAAGCATAACTAACCTGATCTTAGGACGAGGTCAGCCACAGGCTCTGCTCTCTCTCAGTCTCACCACTGCGCTT